TGCGCACTCGCGCGAGCGTGCGAGCCGGATCCGGCCGAACAGGTGACTGACTTTGGCCTCAGCAAGATCATGAGGCCAAAATTGCTGGATCCAGATTTGTTGCTTGGTTTGAAAGGACCCGAGGAAGGACCTCTTGTGTGTGTATACGTGGTGTTGAACAGTTGCTTTTGGGTGGTATGGAGGGTAAGTAGTAACTAAGTAGTAGTTAACTGAGTCAACTCGGAAGCTAAGCCAGGCCCAAAGAACCCCAAAACCCTGCTATAAAAAGCAATTGCTTCGTAGATGGCGAATGATGGGGATATGTTGCCAAGTGGCAGCCTCAATCTGTGAGGCTGCCACTCATTCGGACCACTGACACCGCTCAAGAGGGATGGGCGGTTGGACCTTTTTGGCTACTACGCCTGTTAGCCATTGGTCAGGTGTCGACTGTAAGCTTTGAGGCATGAAAGATGCCAACCGCGTTGAGATCCACCTTGGCCAAATAAGAAGAGAAGCGGTTAAGCATGACCAACCCTCCATCATCATACTTGGGCATGCATCATAGAGCCGTTACGATTATATAAGTCAACATGTTTTGTACGCTCATGTCTTGGTCGCGTGTCACCTGCACTGAACGCATGCTCATGGAGCGCAACGCTCGACCTGAGGAAGGATATCTCACCAGCGCCCAACATGTCTGGTGGCCTTACCCTCGGGATTCACAATCACTCCCACGATATGCCGCCTATTTTCCTGACTGCAAGTTAGCAAAGGGCTTCAAACGTTAAGTCGTCAACAGAAAGGAGGAATGCTTTTTTTTGAATTACATATATATATTGTTTTTGTACAATCTTGATATGGCAAGGTGTTGGAACTTATCGATACATGGCTCCCGAAGTGGTTCGCTACGAGCAGTACACGGAGTCGAGCTCAGATGGTTTGTGGCGAAAGCGCCAAACAAGTAGGCGACACATTTCCCAAAGACCTAGTCGAAGTTGAAACAAGTTGAAAAGGATGGACAACCAACTCATTGCTTGGTGGCCGACGCAGATCAGTATTGCTCCAGCTAGATCTGCCGACACCGTGGGCACTAAAACAACATCATGGGCGTGTACCGACACCTCGCGAACCGAGAGGAAACAACCGATTCTCAACATGGCAAGGACAAGATCGACATCTACGCCATGGCCTTGATTATGTATTATATTCTATCAGGTCAGTTTAGTCAAGCGATTTGAAGCAAGGGGAATGGGGTGGAACAGGCGATCGATGGTGATTGCATGGAAAGATCTTTCCAGCAAAGCAATCCTCAAACATGATATGCACTTTGGAGCACACCAGTCTGACCTAAGAGCGGCAACTCTTATCGTCCCTTGTTCCTGGCATTTTCTACCATGCTTGGGGTTTTGGATTGTTTCAGCTGTGGCAATGGGGAGTGAGTGGGGTACAACCGGAAAGACATGTTCGCAGGCAGAGTGCCGTTCTATGATCAATGCGCTTGACTCAGGGCGTCATGGTTGGGTGAGAAGATCGAAAGACCATGTGTGCGCATTTTCGTACGTCATAGGGACAGCTTCGGATTCTCAATATCATCTCGAAAACATTTAGGTGGGTGCTTGAATTGACATGCAATCACCCTCTCGAACATTCAATATCCTTGTGTTCTCCTTGTGTTGCCAAGGCGGTTCGGAGCCGGAGAAGATTCTGCAGGCTGGACGAGGGCAGGAGACAAGTCCCTTCACGTTCTCCAAAGGGACCTACTTCTGGTGACAAAGCGGGTCAATTTGTATACTAGATATTCACCAGAGATGAATCGCACATGTTCATCGCGGATAGCTGTCAATTCTTTTTTCTCTCTCTCTCTATACATACACTGCATATTCATATATTGATTGATTTATTAAACAAAAACGTGTTAAACTTGCGGTAGGATGAAACTTGCGGTAGGATGGACTCCAGGATGGACAAAAGCCATCATGATTGGATGGAGATGGTCACCTCATGAGATTAGGAATCAAACAGGCTGATATGCTTTGAGGAGTTGCTAAATACATCTAAATACGAACTCACACAGATCTTAAGAAGGGACAGCTCCAAAACAAGCGGCTGTCTTTCAAAAAAGCATTTCTTGGGAGTCCTGGGAGTCAATGGAATGGACAGCTGACAGCATGGCCTGTCATGGCCTGCCCACCTTTGGAGGCCTATATTCGTCGTGAAGAGCCGCGGCCAACTTTGAGCTCGTCGATTGCGACTGCTGAGTTGCTTGGAGTTACCCAGAGTTTCGCCCTGTGTCTTTTTTCCAATAGTTTTGATTTTTCAGGGAATCAGAAGGACATCGCAGGCATTGCTTCGGACACAAACAGATTTCAATACGCATCAAGACCTGAAGTAGATACTATGATGTGGATCGTTTCTTTGCTTTCATCCTCTCAGGTTGCGGCAATTGATGATGGATGTTTCTTGGATGAAGATGCAAAGCATTTTGTTTGGTTTTTGAAGGGTTTCAAAGGCAGGAGAGAATGAACCTGAGCCTTTTGACGACAAAATTGCTCAAGATGTGCAAGTCTAAAGTGGAGGACTTTCCCCTCAGATTTTCTTGAGTGAGGGACCGTAGAGCATCGTAGAGCCATTTGACATGAGAGAGTACGGAATACGTGTATTCTCTCGAGTAGTTTGCTCAAGGCTCACAGCTCATTTCAGACCCAGCATGGCTTCCAGTGTGCTGAGGCATGGGCCATCGACGCAATTGACAGGCTCGTACTTGATGTACTCGTATCACGACAACTGACAGGGCACTCAGGGCTTCCCAGTCAATGATGGGTGATCATTCATTCACCAGACATAAAGCTAGCTGGCAGCCAGGGCGGTTTCAGTCCAGTCTAGAGGCCTTCAGCACAAGACTGCGTGGAGCGCTTGTTGAAAATTCCGAGTACGAAGCACAAAATGTTCAGCTCTTAGTCCAGGTTGGCAACCAGACTGGAGATTTGCTTGTTCCCAAAACAATCAATGAAGTAATGAAAGTCATCCATTGAAACTTGACACTGTCTGAAAAGAGAAAGCCGGATGTGAGCATGGGTAGTTGTTTCTCAAGGAAATAGATTCAGATCAGTTACAGCACATATTATATTTTATTGTATTATAGCGGAATTGGGGCGCCGTCCCAAGGTTTGGCCTCTTCTGAGCAAATTGAAATTGTTGCACCTGCTGACGTTTTGAAGAAGCGTTGGCACACTTGCACAGGTTGGCAGCCCGATTTTGCGAGCTTGTCACGAGTACCGTTTAAACTACCGATGCTGAAGCGTCCTGTTTCTATTGTGACAACAACTTTTTTTTCAGACAAGATCTGGCTGCCCATAAAGCTTCACACGTCCTAACTTTTAGAATCCGACATCGTCCCTGTCCCTTTGCAACTCTTTCCTGTGGAATGACGCATGGGGGATGATTGCATGAGTCAATCATGTTTGAGTATTTGCCGCTTGTGCTCCTTGCCGCAATGATGGCTACCCAAAGCGCTCGTGGACTCTTGGCCGGAAAAGCGGCATGTTTCCCGCAGCCCAGCAATTTTTGCAGAACTGCGGGTTGTTTGCAGAGCGACCGATGTTGGCCCTTTTGTCAAGCTTTGCGGAAGGCTAACTGCTAACGTTGCCGGTTTTGGCCGGTCTTTTCAGGTTTGCGCAGAGCGCTGGAGGCGCTCGTTGAGCAACCCGACATGGCCAGTTTGCTCGTTGCAACCAGTTTCATCCGGCTGCTGGACAACTTTTGAAAGCCGGGGTGCAAGAAGCATCAGCGACACATTCATCTTGAAGCTCAGGATTCCAAGCAACGATAAAGGTGGGTGTCTATTGGAATAGGGAGACGGGAGACCCTCCTAACCGATTGAACTCCCATTTGACCTCTTTTGGCACCCGATTCAGCAGCCAGGGCCATGGTCGAGCATCTGTCCCAGGAAGTCTGGAAATACCAGAAAATGCCTTGGAGATTGGCTGGCTGCGCCCGGATTGAGCCTTTTCGCGCAAGGAAAGCCTTTCCAAGCTCCTAGCTGGGATACGTGTGCTCAGGCCAGAAACAGACTGGCCCTTTGCTGCCCCAGATCTGGCATTTGTTCACATGCCTTTTCAACGCGCGCAAAACTGAGATACACTCACTAAGCAAAATTATCTCTATTTAGTTCACGTAGCGTGATGTGTTCCAGGCGCATTTGAAGCAGATTCTGGTTCTCTTGCCCCGTTGCTTTCTGAAAATGCTGCCGACCTGACAGACACAAATTACGTGGACAAGTATGCCATAGTATGCCCTTTTTCTTCCTCTTACACACACACACACACTCTCTCTCTCTCTCCCTCTCTCGATCTTGGTGCAAAAGTTCAAAATGCAACGGAGGATACGCCGTTTCGCGACTTAAAGGTCGCCAGTCGCATAATTCATTCTCCAAGCCATTTGCTTTTATTGCAAGGGGCTGTCTTCCTCGGGGAAGCAGGAACGCTGCCTCGGCAGAAGCACAGCATTTTCCTGACGATGCAGCATTTGGTGTCGAAAGACAGCGCTGGACGGGCCAGTGGAATCTACAGTGGATCGAGTATGTGTGATTTTGCCAGCTACAGCTACATGCATGCCGCAAATGCTGCGGCAAAAAAACTCTTGAGGCAGTAGGCTGAAAGAAAACTTTTCTTTTCCTAATCTTCTGGTGGAGGAAACGATTGGAGCTGGAGATTGCCAGACTGAAGCCAGACTGAAGCCCAGAGAGCGTTGATAAATTGGGAATTCAATATAGTAATATATTTCTATCATCTGAATCTGTATCGTGTTGCACTCCAAACACTAAGCTGCCTGCAACAGAGCCTGCGCTTTTCTGGCAGCTCTTGATTCATGACATCCGCAGCACAACTTTTGCAGAACATGTTAGTGGCAGTGGACAAGCGGAAGGAAGCTGGGAGATTGAATCTGCCAACATACACAGCAAATCCAAAATGATTAGACATGAATACTCTCCTTGGTATAGTATGTACTATGCTTGATTTGGAGGGCAGCTGGATTAGACAGTAGGGACAGCGGCTTTGTAACGCAGTGGGCGCATATGGGCAGTGTCCATGTGGAACTATCTCTTCAAGAGGAGTTGACAAAGCATTTCCAGCGGAGCTAATTGACTTGAAGACATTTGTAGCGGACATTGCAAAACTCAGTATTTGACTCGCTGGAGAGAGCACTCGCTTTTCTGAATGATGTTGCAAAAGGAGTTGGTGCTTTTGCAGACATTTCACATTTCTGCAAATGCAGGAACAATGGCAACGGCACTAGCTATAGGTCCCTGGAGGTGACTTTAAGCAGGGATTTCAGTCTCGCAGACGAAGTGTCTTGGTCTGCATGTGCATCATGTGCCAACGACATGTCCTTCTGGCCCACCTCACGGCGGCTCCCCTTAATATGTTGGAGGCCATCGCTACTAGGTTGCTACAGTACTAGGTTGGAGGCCATCGCTACTAGGTTGGAGGCCATCGGCTGGAGGCCATCGCTATACTAGGTTGGAGGCCATCGCTATACTCGGCTGGAGGCCATGGCTATAGGCTGGAGGCCATCGCTATACTAGAAAGGAGGCCATCTCTATACTAGGTTGGAGGCCATTGCTATACTAGGTTGGAACGCCATCGCTATATTAGGTTGGAGGCCATCGCTATACTAGGTTGGAGGCCATCAGTACTAGGTTGGAGGCCATCGCTACAAAGTTGAGGCCATCGCTACTAGGTTGGAGGCCATCGCTACTAGGTTGGAGGCCATCGCTATTCGGTTGGAGGCCATTGCTACTAGGTTGGAGGCCATCGGTAGTAGGTTGGAGGCCATCGCTACTAGGTTGGAGGCCATCGCTATTAGGTTGGAGGCCATTGCTACTACGTTGGAGGCCATCGCTACTACGTTGGAGGCCATCGCTACTAGGTTGGAGGCC